TAAATGAGCCCAGAGCCATCCTTGAAGGTTAGTCAAGTGTGATTACTTGACATGTGTGCATTATTAACTATAAGAGTAAGGAAAAATCCTCTGTCCAATATTTATGCTGACTGAGAAGCATAAAATATATGTGCTTTGCCCCATAATACATCACTGTATGTCATCATGTTCCACATGTGATCTTTGTACCTTTGCGTGTGTTCTCAGTGACGTCGACGCCAAACTGGATGATGTCGCCGGAGAGGACCTCACAGGGCGGACTCTCCTCCGAGCCACGACTCAACCTCTGGCTGTTGATGAATGTCCCATTGCTGCTTTTAGTGTCCTGCAGGTAGAACTGAAACATGCAAAACAACAGGTCACAACCATGTGAAGAAAACTGACACTTATAAACACACATGAACAGAAAACTCTAAATTGAAGAAGAGTCGAGTTAAAATAGATCCCCAGATTAAAAGAGAGAAATAAATTATAACAGGAAATATGAAGCTATGGCTCATAATGGAAGAAATTATATTTCACAACCTTTTGGTAGTATGATTTTCATATTGTCAAACAAATATTAAGTATTTATTAGTAATCAAAGCCAATTAAATAGTATATTTTTGGAAAAGAAATGTCTGCATAAACTATTTCCTTGTTTTCACCAGTGAAAGGATTTAACATGTTACCAACTACACCTTCTGGAACCTGGACACTGTTTGCTATTCACCAACAAAAACAACCAATATAAAATAAAAATGCACTACAAATGACCAGGCCTCAAACTGATAAAAACATGTACAATACAAAGCTAAATACTTGGTGTATCCAAAAAACACAAAGAAACCAAAAACACACACAAAATGAACTGACCCCCGTCCAATGAATTTCACCAGAACATAAAACTGAAACTCTTGACATGAACTCCCATGGAGCAACGTGGGGTTAGACGGCACCAAAAAAAATATTCTGCTTTGTTTACCTAATTATTCATGTCACCCAACCACAACATAGCCTCACGGTTACAGAGCCACCTGTCACCATCGATGGCTGCAGTCTACCTTCTTGTAATACACAGATTTTACAATGTTGTATTACCGTATTTTTCAGACTATAAGGCGCACCGGATTATAAGGCACATTAAGGGAAACAAAACAGTCAGATAAGTCAAACTTTACTCAACCCATTCTTCTTGCTTCCTCCACTTCCGTACCATTGATTCATTAATGTTGAATTCTCTCACAGCTGCTCTATTCCCATGTTGTTGCAGATTATTAATGACTAACCTCATAATGTGGATGGATTATCTCAGTTGTTCTCCTGACTGAAGTTTGGTCCGTTTACAGCATCCTGCAATGCGATTGCATTTGTCCCTTACCATTGGGAACCTTCGCGTCAACTTTTATTGACTAGAAAGAAGTTAGCGTTCATCCTGCAGCTTCACTGTGTTTATGTTATGCTAACATAGATGTGTCACTAGCGATCACGTAGCACATCATTACATACCAGCTAGCCCAACTTCAGTAACCCTACAAAATACACTCCTGCTTAGTTTTCTGTCTTCATTTATGTTGGAAGTGGTAGCAGTGCTGTACGTTTAAATTTTTTCAGAAATCATGTTTAGGTGGAAACTAGCGAGCGCCGTGTACCACATAAAATTGGTTCGAGGTCAGTAAGAACAACCAGGATTCATACATAAGGCGCACCGGATTAAAAGGCGCACTGTCGATTTTTGAGAAAATTAAAGCATTATAAGTGCACATTATAGTCCGAAAAATATGGTACAAGCACAGCATCTACCCAGAGATAACCCTGGTGAGGCATAGGTACAAGGTTTTATTTTTCAGGTGAGTAAGATGAACTCGTCTTGGTTTGTAAATTCCCACTGTAAAACCTCACGATGAGCATTATTTGCCATCAACATCTTTTTGTTTTAAACCAGAGGTGAAGAGTGAGGGACACT